CGATGTAATAGTGATTATAGAAATAAAAATGATGGAGTTCTTGGTACTAACTTGTAACAGTAATGATATTAATGGTACCATCTTTGTTTGTCAATAATGATAGTTATAACAGCAATATTAATTACAGTGATAATGATGATGATAATGCTAATATTGACATGATGAAGCCGTTAACGATAATGGTAATGGATATGATAATGATTTTGATGATTTGATAGGTAATGGTACTCTTAATGCCTAACATGATAATATTAACGATATTTATGATAACAATGATGGCGATAATGATAACAATGGAAAGATGATGGTAATAAGAATGATGATAATTATAACAATAGTACTAATAACAATGATAATGATAAAAGAACATCAATTATAAAAGTAACAATGGTGATAATAATGAAAATAATAATGATAGCTATAATGATAATGATAATAATGGTAATAATAATAATAGTGATGGTACTAATTATTATCATTATTATTATTATTATCATTATTATTATTATTGTTATTATTAGAATTATCATTATTATTATTATTATTATTATTATTATTATTATTATTATTATTATTATTATTATTATCATTATTATCAGTATTATTATTATTGTTATTGTTATTGTTGTTGCTGCTGTTATTGTTATTATTATTGTTATTCTTATTATGATAATATTAGCAATGATAATGATAGCAATTATCATGATGATCAAAATAATGATGAAAGTGTTGATAATGATAATGGTAATAATAATAATAATAATAGTTAATAATAAGAATAGTAATAATAATTATAATAATAAAAGTGATAATAAAAAGGAAACCAGTAATAATAATAACATCATTAATGACAATGATCATCCTTACCGTTGATAACATAAGAAACACTATCATCATCGTTATCATTAATGGTGTTTATCGTTTTTACCATTACTGTCATTATTATCACTACTGTTCTTATTACTGCTGTTAATATTATCAAAATTATTATTGTTATTATCATTATCATTATTATTAATAGTTATCATCATTATCATCATTGTTATTAGTATCATTATCATCAATATCATTATTATTGTTTTTGTTGTTGTTATTATTATTGTTATTATTACTGTTATTATGATTATTATTGCCGTTGTTATTATCATTATTATTATCATTATCCTTGTTGTTTAATTATTTTTGCTGTTTGTTGTTATTATTATCATTACAATTATTATCGTTATTTTCATAATTATTATTAGCAGTGTTATAGTTATAGTTATTATTATTATCTTTATTTTCGATATCATTATTGTCTTCAATATCATTATCATTAACATCTTTAACATCACTATCATCATTATTATTTTCCCTGTTATCACTGATATTATTTTCATAACCATTATTATCACTATCATTGTCGTTATTGTCATTATATTGTTATCATCACCATCATCAATGTCACCTTATTATTAGTAGTAGTATCAGTCAATAAAATTGCTATCCAATCTTTGTTAAAACCATTATCATTATCATCATGATTATTATCAGTACTATCATTATTACTATCATTTCCTATAATTATCATTACTCTTTTAGTGCTATAATTCTTATCATAAATGCCACAGCTACCATTATTATCACTAACAGTATAGACGGTGGTACTAATGATACAAATATTAATACCAATATGGATTACGTTATCATAAATATTTTGGTAAAGGTAAAAACTCGGAGGAATTAAAAGTGATATGTGGTTTAGTAAATTAATGATTATGATCAAAGTATCAATTATGATAAATATATATCAATAAATATGTGATTGTGATGGTTTTGGTAACAAATATAAGTTATATATCATAATGATATATAACACTTATGTATCATAATAATATATAACAGTTATATATCATGATAGTTTACAACAGTTATATATCATGATAATTTACAACAGTTATATATCATAATAAAAACAATAAAAGTTACCATGACAGAAATACAGAATAATGTACAGAATCGGTGAAAATTCAGGGTACGAGTATGTAATGCTCTTTCACTCATATAAAAATGTGATATAACATAACTTTTTCTTATATACCGTTATAATGGCAACGGTTGTAGCGGATCTTGATTTTATTGTATTTTTTTCATTCTATTTTTTATTTTTTTTATTTCGCTCTTTGTCTGTCTGTCTGTGTGTCTCTCTCTCCTCTCTCTCTCTCTCTCTCTCTCTCTCTCTCTCTCTCTCTCTCTCTCTCTCTCTCTCTCTCTCTCTCTCTCTCTCTCTCTCTCTCTCTCTCTCTTCTCTCTCTCTCTCTCTCTCTCTCTCTATCTCTCTCTCTCTCTTTCTCTCTCTCTCTCTCTCTCTCTCTCTCTCTCTCTCTCTCTCTCTCTCTCTCTCTCTCTTTCTCTGTCTCGCTCCCCCTTTCTCTCTATCTCCTTCTCTCTCTCTATTTTTTTCATTTTATTTTTTATTTTTTTTCGCTCTTTGTCTGTCTGTCTGTGTGTCTCTCTCTTCTCTCTCTCTCTCTCTCTCTCTCTCTCTCTCTCTCTCTC